ACAGATAGATTAGGGCAGAAACTGCCTTTCCTATCCACTTGCCTTATCTATGGCATTATGCAATCTCCTGCAATAACTTAGATGACAAAATAAAAATTAAAAATGCTGGAATTCTATGAGATTTTAGTTTTCTCAGTTTTCAGCAATTTTTGAATTTTCTTTTTGCAGAGGATGCAAGTACAGTTTCAGAGCAGTTTTACAAACACTTAATCATTTTAGGTATGTTTTAAAAATAATCCTTGAGCAATTATTTCTAATTTTTTTATTAATTAAGCTCCAAAATAATTTTATATTAGGCTCTCCATTACATGTTGCTGGTATCTGAAGTGGAAGAGACTGAAATCTTCAAGATTTGTCTGGAGTATTGGAATCATCTGGCTGCTGAATTATATAGAGAGAGTCCATTTTCAACATCAGCTTCTCCATTGCTGTCAGGCACTCAGCATTTTGATGTTCCCCCCAGGAGACAACTTTATTTGCCTGTTCTGTCTAAGGTAATAGTAATCTCCAGTTTACTTATGCTTTCTATAAATCTGTAAGAGTTTACTGCAGTACCCCTCTGCGGGGGATTGGGGTTATTTGATTGGTCTGCCCCAGGCACCTAATGGACCCAGTTGGGTTTCAGAGAGCACATGGGGTTGTCACTTAGGCTCTGATACAAGGTTCATCTAAGGCCTTGATCACCGCTTCGAATGAGGCGCTGACGACTTTAGATTGGATTGCGTCTGTGCGGACTCTTGTCGTGCACAGACCCGGTGTGTCCCCTGGTTTACCGAGGACCTCTGGAGAATGAAGTAGCAGAAGAGATGCCTAGGGAACTGCTGGAGGAAAACTAGGAGTGAATTTGGCTGGGCACCGGTAAGCACCTTCATTAGGACCTACCTTGTGGAAATAAGAGTGATGAAACACGTATTTTTCTTCACTCCTGTTGCATTCTCTGAGTGTCAGCCATTGGCCCTGTTCAGAGCAAGCTAACCCCTCCTGGGTCAGGAGGGGCTGGGAAGTACCTGTAGGGTCCCTGTGGAGACTATTCTCAACGTTTTGTGGATAAAATCTCTGATTCGCTCTGAGCTGGACTCCAGCTGGACAAGCCCTATCAAGTTGACTGTGATGTTATCTAGGAGGAGTTTGATCCTGTTGATCACAAGGAAGTGGACAGGAATCTTGGCACTGTGGATGTCACCATCCATATTTTGGATCCATGTTCCTCCTGAATGGTCAAGGTCTCCAGGGAAGGGGTATATGGGCAGATCCATGCAGTGATGAATACTACCTTGAGAAAGGGGATACTAGCAGCTCTGAAAGAGGTGGTGGTCCACCTCTCCTTAATAAACCATCACTGGATCCCATAGATCTGGACAATTTTCATCCAGTCTTCCACCTTCTGTCCTTGGGGAAGGTTGTTGAAAAGGTGGGTTGTCCTTCAGCTCAAAAGTGTCCTGGAGGAAGCAAGTTATCTGGGCTCCTTCCGGTCAGGTTTCAGACCAGGTACAGTATAAGACAGCTTTGATTGTGCTTGTTGATGACCTGTGGCAGGCTCAGGAGGGGGAGGTACTGCCATCCTGCCCCTCAACCTTTCAGCAGCCTTCCACACCATCAACCATAGTGCCCTTCTGGACCAGCTTAGAGAGTAAGGAATGGGGGTTTTGTGGTGTTTCTTCTTCCTCCAGGTCTGGTTCACATCAGTGATGTTGAAGGTGGGGAGCAGCCTGGTCCTAGATCTCTGTATTGTGGGATGTCCTGGTCCTAGACCTCTGTATTGTGGGATGTCCCAGGATTCTCCCCTTTCTTTTTTAACATCTATATGAAACCATTGGGGAAGGTCATCTATCAGCATGGGGTGCAGTATTAACAGTATGCTGATGATAGTCAATTATATGCCTCTGCCCCTAGCTGCCCAAGTGTAATTGTCAAGATTCTGTCCCAGTGTACAGAGGCTTGGGGTTTGTGGATAGGAAAGAACAGGCTTTGGCTTAACCCTACTGTGACCTAGTAGCTGTTGGTTCCTGGCCATACAGGTCCAGGAACTGGAGAGATTTCATCTTTGACTCTGGTTGGTGATTCACTACTTCACTTGGATTCAGTGTATAATCTGAGGATGCTTCTGGACTCCTAACTCCTACTTGAAGAGACAGTGACAGCTGTGACTAGGGAAACCTTTGCACAACTGTGCCAGTTGCACCTCTTCCTAGATCAGAGGACCTGCTCACAGTCACTCAAACTTTAGTCACTTCCCAATTGGATTATTGCGAACTATATGGGGCTGTCCTTGAAAACCATACAGAAGCTTCAGTTGTTCCAGAATGCAGCAGTGTAGGTAGTTATGGGCGTTCCTCATTACACATACATAACAACTCTACTTTGCAAGCTGCATTGCCTCCCTACAGGCTTTCAGGTCAATTCAAGGTGCTGGTTATCACCTATAAAGTCCTGCATGGATTGGACTGATTTATTTGTGGGGTTGCCTTCTCCCAAGAATATCTGTCCATCCCACACACTCCAAGAGAAAGAATACACTCCATGTCTCTTCTCTAAAACAATGTCACCTTGTGAGATCCAGGAGACATGGCTTCTTGGTGGTGGCCCTTGCCCTTTGGAACAGCCGCCCCCCCCCACACAAATACTACAATTGGCCACAACCCCACAGGCCTTTGGAGAGATAGCTAAGACCTGGATCTTTTCCTGGGGTTGGGTCAAGATGAGAAGAATTCCCAATTGAAGAGATACAATATATTTTAGTCCTGAGGGTCATTTTAATTGTTTCAGTTTGTTTTAGTGATATGCATTATTTATATTTGTATTTTTATTTAATGATTCAGTGTAAATGTTTGAAATAAATAACATTTAAAAGTGAGGTGGGAAAGAGAACTTGAGGGAGTTGTAAGGGGGATAACCACAGGTATACAGGCACCCACTGGTAAATGTTAAGGATTCCAGCTGTATGAGTTGCATGCCACGAACATGAGGTTTTGGATTGTTTTTCCTAGGAATAACTTTCTTTTATCACTATTACTATGTAAAACATTTGTTTATATTAAAAAAACAGTATCAGCACTTTGTAAATGCACATCAAGTTTATAATTTGGTTTTCAAGTTTTGTATACTGCAATAATCAACTGTAGACTCTCAGTTGTTAGCTGGTCTCTGCCTCATCTAGCCTATCAGATAAATAGTGATGTGAAAAGATGACTGTTAAATGTTATGATTTTTTTTTTTTAAATATAGGTGCGATTGTTGATGGTTAGCCGCATGGCAAAACCAGAAGAAGTACTTGTTGTAGAAAATGATCAAGGGGAAGTTGTTCGAGAATTTATGAAAGATACAGACTCTATCAACTTATACAAGAACATGAGGGAAACACTAGGTAAATTATATTTGTATGATTATTACCTTTCATTCTGCTTTGTTAAGAAAAACTTTCCCCAAAAGTGAAATGTGGGAATTTATACTACTGAAGTAAGAGTAATTGGGGATGGGAGTGATTAATTAAGAGCCAAAATTAACTCTTAATTTAGTAGCACAAATTCTCCCACTTATTTCAGTTTATGGGAAGGAATAAATTGTTTTTCCCATGACAGCCCCAAGCAAAGGCAATGCATAGGTTGATATCATTCTAACTTTTTATAAGCAAATTTATTTTACCATGATTCTATAGGTTGAAGTTTTAGTTGTAGGTGCTTTTTATAATTTTTATTAAGGTAATTGGTTCCGGTTTGTATTGGTCTCCTTCAACTCTGAAAACCCTAGCAAAACTACAACTGCTAATACATTGAATATGTGTTCCACAGACTTGGGATGACTGCCACATAAAATACAGTGCCTTTAGAATTGTAATTCATCCGATTCACTGTAGCACTTCATTACATATTAGTGGAGAGAATATTCTGAATTCCTGGTAATATCCACTTATTTAAATTATTTCTTCCAGTTTATCTTACCCATCTGGATTATGCAGATACTGAACGAATAATGACAGAGAAGCTTCACAATCAAGTAAATGGTACTGAATGGTCATGGAAAAATCTTAACACCCTATGTTGGGCTATAGGTTCAATAAGTGGAGCAATGCATGAAGAAGATGAGAAGAGGTTTCTTGTAACAGTAATAAAGGTATGGACAGACAGTAATAAAAATGTAGACAGACATTATTAGCTTCTCGGGGAAAGAAAGAAAACATAGTAAGACCGTTTTTTAAAAAAGATTTTTTTTATCCCACCTTTATTATGTTTATAAATAACTCAAGGTGGCAAACATACCTAATATTCCTTTTTCCTCCTATTTTCCCCACAACAACAACTCTGTGAGGTGAGTTGGGCTGAGAGAGAGTGTCTGGTCCAAAGTCACCCAGCTGGCTTTCGTGCCTGAGGTGGGAACTCTCAGTCTCCTGGTTTCTAGTCTGGTTCCTTAATCACTAGAGTTTTGCAAATACTTAGCCATATCAGGAGATACTGAACTTCTGTTGAGGCTTAAATTCTGAAAAGTTTGGTGATTTCATGGAAGTCAAACACTAGTGTTACAGCCTCACTGGCAAACTATTAACAGCACCTTGAATACCTTCAAATCAAAATACTCCTCCTCAATTAGTGACCGCAATTTGTTCCCCTAAATTGGAAGCAAAATTGTTGCTAAGTGAACCATGTGACTGAGAGAAAGAGACACTGCAAAGATGGCTGGTTGCTGCGGTCTCGGTTAGATAAAGTTCTCTCGTGCAGCAATGCCAGCATTACTCTCACTGCAGCATGCATTGTTGTCAGGCACAGAAATTTGATCATAAGTGCACACATTGGTTGGATTTTTAAAAAAATTTATTATTACCATCATATTTATGAACGGCCATTAAATGAGGTAGTCACTAAACAAGGAATGGCTGAATAGGATACAGAGCCTTTAAAAATTCCCTTCAGTATTCATTCATTACTCATACGCAGGCACTTGAAAGAGCATACTCTCTGTTAAACTGTTCAAGCAGGCCAGCCCATTTGATGGGGGAACAACAGTGGGGAGAGTCATTTTGATGACTGCTCTTAGTCTTTGGAAGTTCTGTCAGGCTTGCTCTTTCTGTTATTCTTCCAGGAAGCAAAAACATTTTTATTTAAGCAGCTCTTTATGCTAAAGCTGGTATACTTATTAGGTTGAGGTGAATTTGTTTATTGCAGTATTTTACTGATGTGTTTTAGCTGGTGTATTTTTTATTAAGTTTGAAATCTGCAGTTGGTTAATTTGCATATTAGTGAAACTTTCATTAAGATGGACTTCTGTTAGTAGTATACTCAGGAGAGGATTTGTCTTTTATGTTACTGTGTATTGTTTATTGGTGCTTCATTAATAGGGTCAGGTTATCAAGAAGAATGTCTTCATTTTTTGCATAATTACAGAATTTATTACAAGATGAGGTCATGGCTATTAGTTTACAAGTATTTGATTTCACTTATTTTACCTTATTCTTACTCTTTCTGTAATGTTGCTTTATGTAACTTTTTATCAAAAGCAAAAATGGAATTCCTTATGAAACTTGTGTTTCTGTAGGATCTTCTTGGACTCTGTGAGCAAAAGCGAGGAAAAGATAATAAAGCTATTATTGCATCAAATATAATGTACATAGTAGGACAATATCCAAGATTTTTGAGAGCCCACTGGAAATTTCTGAAGACTGTCGTCAACAAGCTGTTTGAATTTATGCATGGTAACTTACCTGGAATTTCATTTGGACTGTGCAGTAATAAATGATATTGTTAAAAAGCAGTAATGGTTACTGCTTTTCTATTAAATATCTGAATAGGTGGGTTTTTTTAGAACTACAGGTAGTCCTCGCTTAATGACCATTCCTTTAGTGACCATTCAAAGTTACGATGGCACTAAAAAGTTACTCACAACCTGTGCCCGCAGTTACAACTGTTGCAGCGCCCCCACAATCACATGATTGTGATCCGGGCACTTGGCAACCAGCTCGCACTTACAACAGTTGCTGCATCCTGGGGTCACATGATCACAATTTGTGACCTTCCCAGCCGGCTTCCGGTAAGCAAAATCAGTGGGGAATCATGTGATTCACTTAACAACCACATTGCTTAGCGATCTAAATTCCAGTCCCAGTTGTGGTTGTTGAGTGAGGACTACCTGCATTGCTATTTAAAATATTACTTAAATTTATAGAAAAATAAAAATAAATTTATTACTGTGTGCTTTTCCTTTATCAGTCTGAACAAGCTCAGTATATATACAACTGAGAAATGGCTTCAGAATGCAGAAAAAGCTTCTTGTATCAGCAACTATTTCTAATTTTTCTCTTTAGAAACTCATGATGGTGTCCAGGACATGGCTTGTGATACTTTTATAAAAATAGCACAAAAATGTCGAAGGCACTTTGTTCAAGTCCAAGTTGGAGAGGTAATGCCATTTATTGATGAGATCCTGAACAATATTAACACAATTATTTGTGATCTTCAGCCACAACAGGTAAATATCAGTTATATATTGCAAAAATATCTAAAATAGGGGAATGTGCAGAAGCATGGGCATTAATAAGGTTTTTTAACCTTGAAAGAGTCCTTTTGTTTATAGAAGATACTTTTTGGATCCACTCTAGTGACTGTCTCTTTATATTGAACAGTAAATTACATTCATGGAAATGTAAAGATTTTTAAACAGTTTGAAAAGACACTTGAGATTTGAAATGTATAGCTAAGCAGATTTAGTGAAATTGTTATTCAGTTCCAAACATATTCAGTTACATATTTTACTATGCTTTTTACTTCAATTAGGTGCATACTTTTTATGAAGCAGTTGGATACATGATTGGCGCTCAGACTGACCAGACGGTACAAGAACATTTGATAGAGAAATACATGTTACTCCCTAATCAAGTATGGGACAGCATAATTCAGCAAGCTACAAAAGTAAGGGTTCATAACATATACTCCTTGCAAGCATGATAATAGTTTTAGAAAATGTTGATTTATAGTGAAGTTAAGGTTGGGTTTGATTTGGAATGTGGTTTGCTTTCAAGAAAAATTTGGTTAACAAATATTTTTATGGGAATTGTTTTATTATTATTTAGGAATGTGCAAAATCAAAGCATGAACTATTCCATGCATTAAATAACTAGTTTTGGGTGGTTCATCTCTATATTAAAATACATATGTCACCAATATTTTTGTCCGTATACAGAATAAAACAGGACAGTTTCATTCCAGATATTTTATTTATTTTTTATATATATATAAAATAAATTTATTTATCATAACATTTATTAAGTATTTATTTATTTGGCATATGTACATGGCCGCCCATCTCACAAACAAGTGACTCTGGGTGGCATACAACAAAGCTAAAAACAATATATACAAAGTATTATTATCATTTAAAAAATTTAAATTATAAAAGGCACAAAAATAAAAAATATTAGGTGAAGAGCAGGTGTTAATTACACTGGAGCCATCTCAGTATTTCACTAGTCCCCTGGGGTCCCCAGGCCTGATGATACAATTAGGTCTTGAGGGGCTTCCAGAAAGTTAAAAGGGATGAAGCCAGCCTCTCTTCAGAGGGAAGAATGTTCCGTAAAGTGGGGCAACAGCAGAAAAGGCCCACCACATAGGACCCATCAAGTGAAGCTCCCTAGCCAACGGGACCCGCAGCATGCCCTCTCTAAGCGGGACAGACAAATGTACTCTGGGAGAGGCAGTCCCTCAAATAACCCAGTTCCATGCCATGTAGGACTTCAAAGATCAAAACCAGCACCTTGAATTGGATCCAGAAACAGACTGGTAACCAATGCAGCTCGCCGAACAGAGGTTTAATGTGCATTCTTCTAGAAACAGGTGTAATGTGCTCTTCTAGGAGCACGCATAACTGCCCACACTGCTGCATTCTAAAGCAGCTGAAGCTTCTGGATACTCTTCAAAGGCAGACCATGTAGAGCACATTACAGTAATCCAACCAGGAGGTGACTAGGGCATGAGTGACTGTGAGTAGAACGCCCCCCCCAAACTAGGAATGGGCACAACTGATGCACAATACAAAGTTGAGCAAAGGCCCTCTTAGCCATAGTTGCCACCTGCTCTTCGAGCAGGAGTCGTGAGGTCTAGGAGAACCCCCAGATTGTGCATGGTGTCTGTTTGGGGCACTGCAACCCCATCCAGCACCAAAGATGGTATAGCCATGTAGCCCCAAAGCCACTCAGTCTTGCCAGGGTTCAGTTGAAGGCTGTTGTTCCCCATCCAGACCCTCACAGTCTCCAGGCACCAGGATAAGATGTCCACAGCATCACTTAATTTGCCAGGGGCAGAGATGTATAAGTGGGTATCATCAGCATACTGATGATACCTCACTCCATAGTGCTGAACGAGCTCACCCAGCAGATTCCTGTAGATGTTAAATAGGAAATAGAGAGAGCACCGACACCTGTGGCACCCCACACAGTAGGGGCTGAGGATGGGCCCTCTCCCCCCCAGTCACCACCAACTGGAATTGACCCCGGAGAAAGGCGAACCAGCACCGTGCCGTCCACCCCCAACCCTCTGAGTCAATCCAGAAGGATACCATGGTCAATGGTATTGAAAGCCTCCAAGAGGTCAAGTAGGATGGATGCTTTACCCCCATTCCGCTTGCACCAGAGATTATCCAAAAGCACAACCAGTGCTGTTTCTGCCCCATACCCAGTCTGAATCCTGACTGAAAAAGATCCAGATAATCCGCTTTATCCAGGGTCCTCTGAAGCTGTTGTGCAGCCACCTTCCCCAGAAAGGGGAGGTCAGATACTGGATTAAAATTGTCCAGTATGGTGGGGTCCAGTAATGGCTTCTTGAGAAGGGGGCGAACCAAGCCTTCCTTAAGAGGTAATGGAACAACCCCCTCACTCAAGAAGAATTTACCACCTCTAGAACCTACTCTCACAACACCCCCTGGGCCAGGAGAAGCATAGAGCTAAAGAGCAGGCAGCTGAGCAAACAGTCCTAAGGACTCTGTCAACTTCATCAGCCCCAACAGGTTCAAACCAAAATGCTGTTGTTTGGGGCCAAAGTGTTTCAGAGGAAGAAAAGCAAAGGCTAAGAGGTTTTCTTGGCCAAGGCATGTCCTCATTATGCTATAATAGTCTCGGAGGAAGCAATTGAAAATGAAACATTGAGGAGCTAGTGTCTCATGTGACTTGTTGTATTGTCAGGGCAACCCCATGCATCCCATAGAGGGCGTGCCCACTCCCTTCCTCCTCTTCTACATAGACAACAAGAACTAAAGGAGAATTGGGGAACAGCGAGATTAGTGGGATATATCACACTGGGAGCTGCTAAGACTACTGTAATAAGCAATAGCACAAAGATCACGCAGAAGAAGAAAGAAGAGGAAGAGTGACATAAACCAGAGTATAAAACCATTCAGGAAGCCTTCTGGATTTTTTTTAGCCTAAAACGTGACTAACCAAAGTAGTTCGTCAAAAGTTCAGACTCTGTACAGAAGTTTTGTTCAAGTTCTTGATCATTTCTGTCTACTGTGGTGATCTTGGATTTATATCTTTTTAAAATCTTGTTATTTAACTGTGCTCAATTATCCAATTATGTTTGAATTGAGAGATTTATACTCTCTCAAATGTATGGAAATAGCCTACTAAGTTGTTAAATATGAAAAATATTTAGTAGCTATTTCCATACATTTTGAAGGAATCTTCAGATATGTTTTTTCTGTGCATTTGGCCTGTACTGAACCACAGCATTAACTTTTATACATATTAGATGAAGAGCTGCTTTGCTTGCTAAATGCACACATTTCTGTTTAACAGAATGTTGATATTCTTAAAGACTCTGAAACAGTTAAGCAGTTGGGGAGTATCCTGAAAACTAATGTGAGGGCATGTAAAGCTGTTGGGCATCCATTTGTGATTCAGCTTGGAAGAATCTACTTAGATATGCTGAATGTGTATAAGTGCCTAAGTGAAAACATTTCTGCAGCTATTCAAGCAAATGGTAAGAATGACTGCTTTAATTACAATAATATTTTGGATCTTCTCACTAGATTATTTGTCATGTGAATAAAATGAGCTAGACTTTCTAACATAGAAGAGGAACCTAAAACAAATAATGGGATGATTGAGTAAAGCTAGTTACAGCAAGTTTAAACGTGGGTTGAATTGTGGGTATGATCTGCTTAATATGTGATGGGTGAATAAACTTTGTTGACATGAATACAGTCACATCAGATGATGAATTGTTGTTATAGAGCCTTAATAGCTTCACACAGGGAGCACTATAATATAAAGATAAGTGTGAATAGAAAATCATAATTTGGTAACTTAAAGACACAACAGTATAATTTCTTAATTGAAAGTAGTACTTTAGTCTCAGTTTACTACTGTGGATTTCTTTGGCAGTCACATAAGCTTTCACAGACGTTTAGTGAACATTCAGCTTTCCTAAATTCATTAACTGTTTGGTGCAAACTCTGGCGTAACTTAGAAGGCACCCAAGCTCATTTGAGCATAAAAAAGGAAAAGCAGCTTTTTTTTTCTGTACTTAGTGGCAAGCTTGGGCCTCATTCCAAAAAAGTATGAGTGGAGCCAAAATAAATTTTAATTGAATTTCAATTTAAGATTATTTGAATAATCTTCCCCTTCTCCTTCCTTTCCCTGTGACAGTAAAAATTAAGTCTAGCAACCATTTTTGAGTTCTGCAGGGACCCAGCACGAGGCTTTTCAATTCATGTACTTTTGGCATACAGTAACCATCACTAGTGTCAACACATACAAATACTTCTAATGGTAGAGTTGGAACAGAGGAGAATGGTACACGAGAGAGGAGATGTAATCCTGTGACTAAGTTTTTCAATGGTAAAGGACCAGAAGCATTTTCATAAGGTCAATTAAAGCCTTAGAATATTTTTATACCCAAACAGAATATACATACATTATCATAATCTGCTATAGGCTTTCTGTAATTATAAAAATATGGGTTTGCCTGTTCAGTAGTCATGCCTCAGAGATCAAGGCCTGGGCAACCTGTGTTCTACCAAGATAATGAAGTATGCTTGGTAGATACCAAGGTATCATGTAGATTTTTGGCATTCTCTATCTTGTAGCCTATTCTGGACTTTGTTTAATTACTTTTTTTCATTGGCATTAAAGTTTTCTTTATAGAATGGTTATAGGAAGATTTTGTGACCCTTCTAACATAGCATCTTGAATCTGAATAGCATTTAATAGGTTATTATTTGGTTCTGGATTTTTTTTCTTATTTAATTTTGTTGATCTTTGAAAAGGTAAGGTAAATCTTTCTAAATCGGTTTGCTTTTCCAAGGCTATTCTTGATTTGTAATTGACCTTAAAACTCTTCCAGGTGAAATGGTTACAAAGCAACCTCTGATTAGAAGTATGAGAACAGTAAAAAGGGAAACTTTAAAACTCATTTCTGGTTGGGTGAGCAGATCTAATGATCCTCAGATGGTAAGTGCAATGACCTTAATAAACTACTAAAACATACAGAGGATGCATTTGCATGACACATCAAACTTAGCTTAACATTAACCCTAATAGGAGACTTACCTTGACCTTGGGAACACCCTTCAAGTGGTTAGGTGTTGCTACTAGCAGCAGCAGTTTGACTGCCCTAGGGATCTGCAAAAACATCTCGGATATTCTTACCTCAGAACAAACCTGTGTTCTGGATTTCTGTCCCAAGCTCAAGACAAACTGGGGATTTCACTCTACCTTGTCTTCAGGGTTTCCTAACAGGAAACAATGGGAATTTTAAATCAAGATCTAGCTCCCTCAGTTTTCATCCAAGTAGTAGCCTAAACTTTTTAAAAAATGACCAAGGGGATTATTTCTACAGAAATGTTTAAAATAGTGTTAAATCCCAAGAAATAGTTGAGATGTGGTAGGGTTCAGCACTTCACTTACCACTGTGGTTCTAGAATGGAAAACAAAAGAGCAGAAGACTTGTTCTGAGTTCTTGTCTACATATGAACAATTACAATATTTCCATGTTCATATTGTTGGAACACATAACTCACTCAAAACATTCCAACAGAATAGGTCATGCTGCTTTGTTTGGATTTTGGAACACTTTTTATCCCTGATTATCTCACCACCTCTGCCTGCTGAGAGCAAATATTCCAACTGCCTTTCTGATGTTTTACTGATGGGGGAAGGGATATCTTCATTTTAGACCATTGCATAGGAGAGAGGGAAGTTTATTTTGTTTAAAATTAAGTCACTCAGAGGTAAAGCAAACGGAAGTGAGAAATATAAAGTTGTCTGAAAAGTTTATTACTTAATAATTCTGGCCTATTTTTTCTTAGAAGGTATTTTTGTCTGGCTCATGTAAAGCAAGAATTTATCGCAACTTTAGGATTGTACAAGTCTCTTACTGATTCTTTAAATCTACTACAAACTACAGTTTCTTTTGTGGTTTATTTACATATTGCTTTTGACTATTCTTTAAACATACTATAGTTTAACACATGCAAACTTTAGGAAATGTTGGGTTAACCTACTTCGTTGGGTTTTTTTTTCTAGGTAGCTGAAAACTTTGTTCCACCTTTGCTGGATGCAGTTCTTATTGATTACCAGAGGAATGTTCCAGCTGCCAGAGAACCAGAAGTGCTTAGTACAATGGCTATCATAGTAAACAAGTTGGGGGGACACATTACTGCTGAAATACCTCAGATATTTGATGCTGTCTTTGAATGCACATTGAATATGATTAATAAGGTAATTCAGTGACTCTTAAACATTAAAAAATAGATATAGGGAGGAAGCTTATGAAAACTGATTTCATTAACTTTCAGTAAAGGAAAATGCAGTTTTCTGTAGGTAGAGTTGGAGTTCTGTATTGGTTCTTCTATTGTTTTCCTAATTTATTCCTCAAAAGGCTGATTATTTCCCACAGCTTTTAGTACAATGTTCATGCAACTAACTCTGTATAGTAATCACTTTTCTTTCTCTATTGCCCCTTCATCCTGTTGATCACACATATAACTATTTTTATTATTTCCTATCTCCCGTGCATCCTAATTTCATGTATTTTTTCTACATTGTCAGAATATGACACTACATATTTTATATTGTGACTACTCTTCTTAAAATATTTTTCTGGCTTCCTGTCTGCTCATGGATTGGGCAGACACGCTTTTTTTATCCTTACCTTCCAAGTGCAGAAGGTCCTTTCTTCTCCATATCTTATTGCACTTATATTCTAACAGTAGTTAGAATTCTAAAGGTAGTCATTCACTTAATACTGTTCTCAACCATTCAACGATCTCTCAGATCCTGAAATTACTTACAATCACTTTCTGTTCTTTGCACTAAGATCTGCTTCCCAGAAACTTTCTGTTTCTTTTAAGTTCCATCTCAAAACTTTTAGGTGACATTTGGATCATCCTCCTTGGCTAGAAGTATACCATTTGATGCCCCACAATGGCATGATGTACCGCCAAAAGCTTTGGTGGTAGTTCCCAACAACTCCAAAATCTGTCACCAAATTGTAACATTTTACATCATTGAAGAGGAAAATGAATAAATACATAACTGGAGAGTAATATGAAATGAAATGAGGTTTAGTTTTAAGCTTACAGTCCTAAATTGACTTTCAGCCTAGAAATTCTGTGAATCTCTTCCTCTGTGCCTTATTGTAATTAAGCCAAAATAAAAAGATAGAGTCTCATAGGATGAGTTTCTGTCATAGATATGTCCTTGGCAATAGTATGTTGTGCCATTATCTTTTTCTGTGATTTTAAAACATTCCTCAGTGTAGCCCACAGCACAACAGTTTTTTATTGGTCTTCATCCAAGTACTAACCAGACCTGGCCCTGTTTAGATTTTTTAAATCATCTAGGGCCAGGTAGGTACTTTTACTTCCTGTGGGTAAGTAGAATCACAGGTAGTCCTTGGGTTACAACGGCAATTGGAACTGGGATTGCCATTGCTAAGTGACGTGGTTGTAAAGTGTGGCATCACATGACTGCATTGCTTAGTGACGACAATCCCAGCAGTCCCGGTCGCCATCGGGAAGCATGGGTCGTTAAGCAGGAAGTGCAGGAGTCCCAGGTAAAAGTTGGGGGGAGGCCCAGTGCAGACCACACGAGCGCAAAAAGGCCGTGGGGTGGAGGGTACAGTGCAAGTGCAGGAAGGCTGCAGGGTGGAAGGCATGGCACAAGCACAGGAAAGCCAGGGGGACTTATTGGAGTGACTTGTAACCTTCCCTGCCAGTTTCCCCATTGACTTTGCTTGTGAGAAGCCGGCGGGGAAGATTGCAAATGGTGATCACATGATCATAATTACAAGCTGGGCACATGAGTGCCCAGATTGCAATCATGTGACTATGGGGTTGCTGCAGTGGCCAGAGCTTCGAGAACTGGTTATACATCTATTTTTTCAGCACTGCTGTAACTTTGAAGGGTTGCTGAATGAATGGACGTAAGCCAAGGACTACCTGTATACTATTTTCTATTAGCTATTTGAGATAGTAAGTCCTTTAAGCTAAGTGTCTACGTAGATGAGCTGTGTTAATTAAATAACAGTACCTTCTTTATGTATCAGTCTTACCTCTGAAAATCTAGCCTGTATAAAAATACATTGGAAGTGCATGGGCTGTAAGTTCAACTGGGAAGTAGAAAAAAATCTCAGAAGATAGTGGCACTTCCATATTGCTCAAGAAAGCTATATAAACATATTACCAGAAGTCTGGCTCTAGCATCTAACATCTGCTAACAAAATATATGCAACAACATGGAAAACTTTCTTAAATGGATGTTTAAAAAGATATGCTTTTGAAAAGAATGGAATTTCTGCAAACAAATTTAGATAGGTTCAAATTCCAGTATTAGGCATCAGTCGGCAACCTTGATATCCTCAGCTATAAAGGGAAAGAGATGCATTTTCTCCTCGCATTACAAGAGAATTTATTATAAACTGAACAGCAGTTGTTAGATTGCCTAACTGGAAATCTAAATTGGTAGAACTTGCGGCATTACTATTTGAACCAAGTGACTACCTTATCCTTGAAATGTCTAATGCCAGTGACAGTATTCCTAATGATGATCATGTTGACCAGGTAGGTTTTGGAGCTAAGACCTCTTTCCTTAGATATTAATAATTTTTCACATAATTCATGTCTGTATGCCTCATCCTGCCTTCATATTCAGATTAAAGAGAAAAGAAAGTAGAGAAATATTGCTGTCTTTTCTTGTCCCAATCTCTGAACTGTAAGAGAAGAACTAGCATAATTGGGATGCAGAAGGGGACTGCATTTTAATTTGTATAGGATTTTAGAGATTGCAAAGACCCTTCAGAACTTGTAAGGCCTTGTGAATATTTTTGAGAATAGCTACTTCAGCAGCTTTCCAATTAACTTATAAAAGGTATTTGTGAGGCAGAGCCAACAGATATTTCAGTAGCATTACTCTTTATTGGAGGATGTGCTTCAGAAGTTGATTGTCAGTGTAGTATGACAATTTCTGAATCCAACAAATTCATATTGATTTGTTATTCCCTGATTTGTAGAGTGATCTTCATGAATTTCCAGAGAAAACAAACTTCTTTACCAATTTCTTTGCAGAAAGGGCTTTTGACTCCTTTGAAAATTGATATTTTATTTAAGAAGGCTTTTATGTGTTTTTTGGGTTGAGATGAAGGGCTAATCTTGTTTTTCTACCCTGGTCTGGGGGACAAGGTGTCTATTCCTCTGGAGAGACATTTGAAAATTTGACTTGTGTGATACAAGAGTAGACAGTGTCACAAGGTGAAGAAATTACTTGACTCAGAGAATTACACAAGTAAGGAAGTTTCTGGATTTGCATATAAAAGGATCTCTTTTCTCCCTTAGGACTTTGAAGAGTATCCTGAACACAGAACAAACTTTTTTTTATTACTACAAGCAGTAAACTCCCATTGCTTCCCAGCGTTCCTGGCCATTCCACCTGCACAGTTCAAACTAGTATTGGACTCTATCATTTGGGCTTTCAAGCATACAATGAGAAATGTTGCAGATACAGGTGAATATGCTTTATCCTAATCTTCTAAATTATTACGGTTTAGAAGCATGTAGGTAATGCAGCTTTTTTACAGTCTGTTATCTATCTGTCCAGTCTTGATAAAATGTAGTGTTAAGTATTCCCTCATGAATTTTATCAAATTCCTTTGTCAGAAATTGAGAACTTTTAAACCAGTGTGAGTTGGTTTGCTTAGATACAGTTCAGATTGTAACTGTTAAGAGTCAAATTGATTGTAGGAAGAAATATATATAGTAAATAAATACATGGTAAAAGCAGAAATAAAATTGTAAAATTCAAAGAACAGTAGATGTAGTCATGCACTGGTTTTCTACAATAAAATGTAATACCTGCAAACATTTAACATTTTAGAATGACTTTGCTTTGTGCTCTTTTCCAGGCCTTCAGATCCTTTATACACTTCTACAAAATGTTGCACAAGAAGAAGCTGCTGCCCAGAGCTTTTATCAAACTTACTTCTGTGACATTCTTCAGCACATTTTTTCTGTTGTAACAGACACATCTCATACTGCTGGTAGGAATTGAATCCTGTGGTGGGAAATTAGAAAACTTCTGTTAAGAGTAGAACCTACATCAGTTACAAATATTAACTCTAATTTGTATATTCTAACCAGGTTTGACAATGCATGCATCAATTCTTGCATACATGTTCAACTTAGTAGAAGAAGGAAAAATAAGTACTCCCCTAAATCCTGGAAATCCAGTAAACAACCAAATGTTTATTCAAGAGTATGTCGCTAATCTTCTTAAATCTGCATTTCCTCATCTGCAAGAGTAAGTACTTGATTTCCAAACACAACATAGAATTTATATGCACGTGACAATCATATAAACTAACTCCTTTTTTTTTTTTAAATGTTAGTGCACAGGTTAAACTGTTTGTAACAGGACTCTTCAGTTTAAATCAGGATATTCCTGCTTTCAAGGAACACCTTCGGGACTTCCTAGTGCAGATAAAGGTATGTTTGATGTTTATGAATGCATATTGGATTGCATTCATAGAGGAAGGATTTTCTGTTAAGACTGCTGGGGGAAATTGTTCATGCACAGTTAACCTAATAATTGCCTGGGCAGAAGGTACAGTGGAACCTCAGGTTACGAATTTAATTCGTTCCATGACTCTGGTCGCACCCCGAATTGGTCGCAACCCGAAGGAAATTTCCCCATAAGG